TTTTGATCCAGACTATGACACAATCGACAGAACCTCAGTTTGGGTAAGACTCCCGAGACTGCCTCTTGCTTACTTTGATGAGGAGATCCTTTACAGCATAGGTGAGAAACTGGGTAGAGTCGAAAAGATAGACTACAATACAGCTAATGGATTCCGGGGAAATTATGCTAGAATCTGTGTGGAAATTGATCTTAGGAAGAAATTGGTTTCGAAATATAGATTGAAGAGAAGAGTGAGAAGAGTTGAATATGAAGGATTACATATTGTCTGCTTTGAATGTGGTCATTATGGACACAAAGAAGAAAAATGCCCAATCCGCCTGGAGGGTACTGTTCTATCACCAGAAGAGAAGTCCAAAGATCAAATGATACCTAGCAAAAACCTGGAAGTCAGACCAGAAATCACTGAGGGCTTTGGACCCTGGATGTTGGCTACACGGGCCAGAAGAAGAAGACAGACAGTGAAAAAAACTGAAAACAACAACAAGAAGGAAGAACAACGAAAGAATGCCTCAGGCTCCCAGTTTACTGCTTTGGAGGTAGAAGAAGATGGAAATGAGGAAGGGGAGGAAGTAGAGGAAGAACAAGAACAGAATGATCAGAGGGAGGCAGAACAAGCAGACCAGATGGAGGTAGATGGAACAGAAGGTGGAGATAAAGGGAAGAAAGAAGAAAAAAAACTAGGGGGGAAGAAGAGCAGAGATACTCCACAGGAAGAAGAGAAAGAGTCAAAGGAGAAAAAAGGGAGGATAAACACAGCAAGGAAATGAACAGGAAGGGGAACCAGAAGACCACCCCTGAAAATAACATCCAGAAAACAGTGAGCAGGACACAGATTGTGAAGCCTCAGCAGGAAGCCGCCATTCCAGCTAAAGAGATAAAGACAGGGAAGAAAAAGGAAGAGGGATTACCTGCCCATCCAAAACAGTCACAGAGCCAAGGTGAAACAAGCAAAATCAGCAGCAGTGACACAAAACAAGGGAAGGGCAAAATTTCGTCTGTTGGTGCCATAAAAGGGCACCAACCGAAGATGAAAGGCATGTCCCCTGGGAAAGAAACCAAAGATGGATGGAAGCCAAAATCACAACCTCCAGAAAATGGGGTTAACCAACCCAGGAAGCTGGATTTCAAAGCCAGTCCAGGGAAGGAGGTCCTAAAGCCAGAAAATGCTACTCCACCAAAAGCAAATGATGCCAAAGGGGAGTCGAAGGAGGATGAGACGGTAATGGCCGTCGACAATGTTCCATCCTGACCTTCTGGTCATGTCAGGGAAGTTTCTTTAATTTTTCTATGATTAAAGTCTTCTCCTGGAATTGCAGGGGTGCTAAGCACCCTAAGTTTCTACCTACTTTTGAGTTATATAAGAACCTCTATAAACCAAATATAGTCTGTATCTTTGAACCTATAATTAGTGGTAATGATGCCCTGGATGTTATCAAGAAGATGGGGTTTGACTCCCATTGTATCTCTGATGCAACAGGATTTAGTGGGGGGATTTGGGTCCTGTGGGACAGCACTCAGCTCAATCTGGAGGAGGAAGACAAGCAGAAACAGTACATTCACTTCAAATGCTCACGGAGTAGGAAGACTTTCTGCCACTTCTCAGCCATCTATGCCAGCCCTCGTGATTTTGAGAGAATGGACATGTGGGATGCCCTTAGAAGCGTTGGTAGACGTACCAACATCCCCTGGATGATCACTGGGGACTTCAACTCCATTACCAACTCGTCAGAGAAGGCAGGAGGGGCCCCTTTCAACCATGCTAAGACCAAGGACTTCAATGAATGCATCAAAGACTGTGGACTCCTTGACATGGGATTTTCTGGACCAAACTTCACCTGGTTCAAGAGCTCAGGGAGAGTTAAAGAAAGATTAGACAGAAGCCTCTGCAACCTTGAGTGGCACCAGCAATTCCCTGAGTCCAATGTTCTTCACTTGACACGGCTGAAGTCAGACCATCGCCCTCTCCTTACTTGCTCCACAAGACAACACAGTGAAGATAACCTGGTGAGAAGATTCCATTTCCTTGCCCCTTGGCTTTCCCATGACAATTTCTTCCCTTTCATCAATGAGAATTGGCAGACTGGCAACGATCTCCTTCCCTCCTTGCAGATTCTTGCCTCCAAGCTTCAGGAGTGGAACAGGAAGGTGTTTGGAAACATTTTCAGGAGGAAGAAGACCCTCCTCAATAAGCTGAACTCCCTGGAATTTCTTAATGAAAGGAGACCCACCCCTCATTCGCTGGAACAAGAAAACACAACTAGGATCGAGCTGGAACAAACTCTTTGGGAGGAGGAACTTTTGTGGATTCAGAAATCAAGATCTTACTGGTGGACTCATGGAGAAAGCAACACACGGTTCTTCCACAACAGCACCTTGTGCAGAAGGAAAAAGAACAAGATCATCACCCTAAAGGACTCTATGGGAAACTGGATTGAGGAACCTGCTGCACTGCAAAGTCTGGCAAGGGATTTTTTCATCAACCAGTACACCAAAGAGGACAAGGACTCCTGGTCAAACATTCCTGCTGACTTCCCATGCCTTGAGAGTGAAGTTTTGAACAGGACTAAGTGCCCCCCAAGCCCTGAGGAGATCAAACTGATCATCAAGAACATGAGCCCCCTGAAAGCACCAGGAAAAGATGGCTTCCAAGCAATCTTTTTCCAAAAGTGCTGGGATTATGTGGGAACTGACCTGATCAGTTTTGTTTTATCTTGTTTTGACTCACCTGAGCAAATCAGGAGGGTGAATGGCACCCTTCTCACCCTGATTCCTAAAATTGACTCTCCCTCTTCCATAACTCACTTTAGACCTATTAGTTTATGTAATGTGAGCTATAAAGTGGTGGCAAAATGCCTAGCTGAAAGGCTCAAGCATCTGATGCCTCACCTTATTAACCCTAACCAGACCAGTTTTGTTCCTCAACGACATATCACTGATAATATTCTCATTTTGCAGGAAACTGTTCACTCTATGACAAGAAGGAAAGGGAAGAAAGGATCAATGGTGATCAAAATTGACCTCGCAAAAGCCTATGACAGACTGGACTGGGATTTCTTGAAAGAAACACTGGAAGCAACCAGGCTGCCTGCTGCTTTTGTGAAGATGACCATGAAATGCGTGACCACCACAGAACTCCAAGTGTTGTGGAATGGAGGAGAGACAGACAGTTTCACTCCTAGCAGGGGGCTTCGTCAGGGATGTCCTCTCTCCCCTTACCTCTTTACCTTGTGCATTGAACGTTTGAGTCATAGTATTGTGAATGAGGTTAAGAACAAGTCCTGGAAACCAATGACTCTCTCAGCAAAAGGCCCCCCTTCTCCCACCTCTTCTTTGCAGACGACTTAGTCCTCTTTGCTGAAGCTTCCCCCACCCAGGCTACTTGCTTGGTGTCGTGCCTAACTAGGTTTTGTGAAGCTTCAGGGGAGTTGATTAGCAAAGAAAAGTCTCGCATTTACTTCTCGCCTAACACTAGAAGTGATGTGAGACAGAACATTTGCAGTATTCTAGGTGTCCAATCCACCAATGACTTAGGGAAATATCTTGGGGTTCCAATTCTACATGGAAGAATCACTAGGAACACCTATAGGTATATTTTGGATAAAATTGACAAAAGACTTACAGGCTGGAAAGCCAAAACTTTATCCCTTGCTGGTAGAGTTACCCTTGCCCTCTCTGTCTTGAATGCCATCCCCACCTATGCAATGCAAACTGCTATCCTCCCTGCCTCGGTTTGTGATGCAATTGATAGGAAGGTTAGATGGTTTGTTTGGGGATCACAGGAAGGAAGGAGGAAAGCCCACCTGGTTGCTTGGGAAACCATCTGCAAACCTAAAAACCAGGGAGGTCTTGGTCTTAAGTCTGCTAGATGCCTTAACTTAGCCTACATGATTAAGATCGCTTGGCTCATGTTTAATGATGAAAAAGCGTTGTGGGTGCAGGTTTTACAAGGGAAGTATTTCAATCACAAGGATGGAAGGATTGTCTCCATGAAGAAAAGCAACCATTCCAGCCTGTGGAAAGCTGTCCTGAAAGCAATCCCACTGATGAAACAAGCAACTGCCTGGAATATCTGTGATGGAACTACAACTGGCTTTTGGACCCACCCTTGGATCAACCACGAAACAATCCTCGAGGACTTCCTTAAGGAAGACATTAGTGAGGAGGACCTGAACTCATCTGTTGCGGAGTGGACCACGGAGGAAGGAAACTGGGACTGGAGAAGGCTCAACAATCTCCTGCCTGACGAGATCCTGGCCTTAATTGCAGGCACTGATGTCCCTCTACCAGGCTCGGGGGAAGACAATCACAGATGGGGCATTGAACAAGATGGCAAGTTCAGTCTTAAGTCTGCTTACTGCCTTGCATCTGATGCTCTTGGGAAGGAGGAAGATGCGATCTGGAAGGGGATATGGAAGTGGAAAGGACCGAGCAAGATTAAGCACTTCATGTGGTTGGTGACTCATAACAGGTTGATGACCAACAAGGAAAGAGCAAAACGTGGACTGACTACCAACAGTGACTGTCCTCACTGCAACAACGTGGAAGAAACAGTGGAGCACATCCTCCGTAACTGTAAAAAACCCGAGGGTGTTTGGAACCACTTCAATTATTTCATCACTGCTCAGGATCCCAGCCAGGACTTCAAAACATGGCTGCTCAACAACATGAAAGATCAGAGCAAAGGGACGGAATTTGGGATCATCTGTTGGTGTTTATGGAAACAGAGGAATGAGGAAGCTATGGAGGGGAAACCCTTCTCTGAAATGGGCCTCATTAAAAGAATTTCTGCCTGCTTTGCTATCAACACCAATGCTGTGAATAACTCGGCTAGTATTGGCCTGGTCAAGACTCCCAACAGAGAAAGGAGGTTCTTCTCATGGAAACCACCCAAGGAAGGATGGATCCAATTACAAAGTGATGGAAGCTACAAGAGCTCCAACCGAAGTGCTACTGCGGGAGGATTGCTGAGAGATCATCTTGGAAAGTGCACTACAGCCTATGCTTGTAACCTGGGATCTTGTACCATCACTAGAGCCGAGCTCAAAGATGCTGTTGAAGGCTTAAAGATTGCCTGGGATAAGGGATACAGGGATGTGGAAGTCAATCTGGACTCGAATACAGCTGTGAGTATTTTGAAAGGGAAGGGAGATACCAACAGCAGCCATGGACTTCTTGCGCTTCAAGCTAAAGAACTCCTTAGTCGTAGCTGGAATGTTAATATTAACCATGTTTATAGGGAGTGTAACTCTGCAGCTGATTTCTTAGCTAGCATGGGGCATGACCTCCATTTTGGCACGCATCATCTTGATACGTGTGACCCCAAACTCCTGTATTGGCTGAACTATGACGCTAGGGAAACCTCCCAAGAGCGCGATATTTTAATCTAATTCTGGATGCTCTGCATCCGTCCTTTTACCAAAAAAAAAAAAAAAAAACGCAGCCTGACTCAATTACAGCTGCTTCAGCAGCAGGGGATTGGGCCCGTAGCTGGCCCGCCCTGATTTGGCCCGCCTCGAGTTGGCCCATTCGACTACATAAATCTCCAATGAAAGGACGATTTCAAAACGCAAAGTATCAACTAATTGGAGTTAAATTGACATATTTGCCCCTCCGTGAAGCACTCTAACTCTCTAAGAGCTGGAAATTCAAATCTCTCAAAATTGAACCCATGTTTTACCTTTATATCTTTTGTAGATGAGTAATCAAAGTAAAAAAGCGAACAAGAAATTGGTCTAAGTGGTGTGAATGAACATGAAAGGGGAAAGATTCAAGAGAATCTCTTGAAGTACCATGTTGGTAAGCTGTAGGAAGGCGTGGCCGCGAATTCGGTCGATTTGATGTAATATGTTGGTAATCGGTAATATTAGTTTGTGTCACCAATCGGACCAAACCGAGTTGAACCAAATTAAACTGAACCGATGTGGCGGTTGGAGTGAACCAACCGGTCCAACTACCATGGGCTGAACCGATGCAATGGTTCATAATTTTAAAATGAACCAAGATGTTGATTGGGGTGTAACCACCAACCCGAAGGGTCACATCCCTTCACACACACCTCTTCATTTTCTATAAATAGCACATAACGCCCTCTAGTTCTGATATACATTTTCCGGTGCCAAAATTCTGCTAAAATCCAAAACTAGTTTTCTGCATTCTTTTCAAAGAGAAAATCGAGTCAAGTGTGGTTCTCGCCAGTTCGCTGCGTTCGATGGTTTCCGGGGTTTGAGGTACCGTTACGCCGGATAAGGTACGTCCTTTCTATCATGGGAGGAATCATTCCATAACCTTGGGTACTAGAGGGGAATAAGATTCCTTAAGGAGAGACAATGGATTCTGTCGGCTAGGACGCATACTTTGTATTATTTTTCGTGATCTTACTTGTTGCTTGTTTTTGCAAGAAAATAGTATACGTGAACAATATCCATAACAATCTTATGGTGGGAAGTGTTCCCGAGACATGGAGTTTGATCCATGATGATGTAATTATGTAAATTATATATTTACAAAATGAAAATAATGTGGTCATATTTCCTAAAATGTGATCGACCACCAAGTTTTAATGCATTCATCGCATTGGTCTAATTTGGTGTTGTGGCGTGGATGAATGATAAATGAGTCAATTTAATTTGGACACATTTTCATTCAAGCGTTGCATGAGAGCATAGAAGTACCTATACCTCGATATGCTTACATGTCCCACAAATTAAGAATGAATCAAATTCAAGGTATCCCTTCATGGATTGTAAGGTGGTTTGGATGGTTGTAAACTGTCCGGTTAGTAAATATGAACAACCATAAGTGTGTATAATCTATGGAGAGGTTAGTGAGGACTTGTGAGTCAAGTCTATTTAATCCGGAATGGTTGCAAATGTTATGTTCAAAGTAAGTTTGACATAGTTATGAAAGAGTATACCTCCAATGTGTTGGAGATAAAATTTGGTTAATGCACATCTAAAGGACTGTACGAGAAAGCCATAAGCGACAAGGAATTCTAATTCCTATGATACTTGTGAAGACATGATAATTTGTTTTGTCATGTATGTGATTTAGGACTTGATGTTTCCTATGTCATGAGGGCAAGGAAAAAGATGCGATGATTGATTCTTATAGGGATTGTATAAGCTTGCCAAAGAATGGTGATCATCAAAAGTAATTATCGTCAGAATTGTTTATGGTATATATAGATATATATCATTGGAATTTTTTTTGGCATGAGAGCTCAATTGAGATGATCTTATTGAACTTAAAGTCTGGATTACTTATAATATATTTATGAAGTTTATGCCAATGGAAAGTAATTAGATAATGGACTTAGAAATTCATTTGAATTACTTGTGGGTATATCAAGTTACATAGATGGAATGTCATTGGCAAGTAATTAGATGGGATTTCCATTACTGGAATGCATTTGAATTACTTATGACATCGCAAGTTGTCTTGATCAATACCATTAGTAAGTAATTAGATGATATTGCTAATAAGATCTGAATTGTTTGTGTTATGTTAATCGAATTAGATCATACCATTGGTAAACAATTAGATGAAGATAGTTGTTGTCAAGTTCAATAAGTAAAACCATTGAAAATTAATAGAATTATTCCATGGAGTTTGGAAAATGGTCAAATTGTGGGGGAGAATAGCCGTTGTTCTGGCTAATATCTTAAAATCCTACAATGAGATGCAAATTTATCCATAAGACGAAAATGGAAAGGACAAACAAGTCATACTTGAAAGTATGAAGGTACGTCCAACAAGAAAGCGCAAGTTCATAAACCTTATGAAGTTAACCCAATCCAAGAGTATAACTTATAAGTAAAATCTAACATATGTTGACAATTATGTGAGAGAGCTAGTTTGAGAATTCAGAGAAGATTTATTAGAGATGTCAATCCACTATTCCCAAAGGAAAAATAATGTCAACCATATACAAGCAAGTATATGAACAACATTCCCCTTATCGGAAACATTGAGTTTCAACAACTATGGCGAAAATAGTTGAAATGTGGGGGATAAATTGTGGAGAAGTGATATGGAATGTCACTTGGGTGATTCCTAAGTGAAATTATGTGAATACTTAGGAGTTTTATATAAACCCTAAGCTAAATCTTAAATATCACTACATTAAAGAGATGTTTGTGAAGCTCAAGTACTCTAGAAGTGGTGATAACTTCGGTACTTTTATCATGAGTTATGATTATTGCAAGGCAATAAAATCAAGTCAAGCACACATGATGTGTAGTGAATCGAAAGAGAAGAGTCTTTGGTGTATTATACCCAAAGGAACTCACTGAATGAACCAAAATGTATAATCCATTAAACAGAGGCATTTATGGTTGATGAGGAGCATTATCTTGGAAAAACGTCCAAGTTAAACTATACACTCACTCTAAGACCAGTGAAGTTCAATCGTATGGCCCGTAAAATTTGGGGTGGATAAGCGCACCTTGTGAAAGTACAAAGTTGTGATTGCAGGGGATATAAGTGTTATGTAATGAACCTTGTCATATATAAGGAAACATAACACTATGGATTGATTAATTTGTAGCGAAGTTATATGGATTGATCATCTTAGATTAAATGATAACAAACGTGAGGCCTACCGAGAAATTAATTATATCATCGAAGGGAATGGACTCATGGCCTAGGATAAATCATCATGGCGGTAACTCTACCTAAGCAGGATTGGCATACCCAACCTCTAGGTTCAAGGAGCAAACAAAGTTGTGAATGATGGTCCGACATTGTCAAATTTCCAATGTCCATTCTCATGATGAGACAATGTCCAACTATTAGGGTAAACCTAAATATGGAAGGTTTTTAATGGTTTCTATGTTTGACACGAGATGCGATCAAATAGTGTATTTTTGGAATACACATTAGAAATCACCTATGTGAGTGTGAAGTGGAGCCGATTCAAGGAGAATAAAAGAAGGCCAGTTGTCTAAACACTCATGAAACTAGGTGGTGTTCATAGCTAAAGCGAACACAACAATGAGAACCAATGAACGGATAAGATTTAGTTGTGTGACATATGTTGTCTTAGTATACAAGAAAACCGACGGTTCAAGGATATCATATCTACCGATTGGTGAGTATACTCGATATATGTTCACTACGGAAGGTTCAAAGGGAAACCCACCTATCCAGATGCAACTAATTCTTAGTTGAGAGTCACATAGTTTTCAAAACTTGCATTCTCCATTCATGTGAGGGATTGTTGGGATTTTTAGTGGTGTGAATGGGCATATGAAAGGGGAAAGATCCAAGAGAATATCTTGAAGTACCATGTTGGTAAGCTGTAGGAAGGCGTGGCCCCGAATTCGGTCGATTTGATGTAATATGTTGGTAATCGGTAATATTGGTTTGTGTATCCAACCGGACCAAATCGAGTTGAACCGAATTAAACCGAACTGATGTGGCGGATGGAGTGAACCAACAGGTCCAACTATCATGGGTTGAACCGATGCAATGGTTCATAATTTTAAAACGAACCAAAGTGTTGGTTGGGGTGTAACCACCCACGCAAAGGGTCACATCCCTTCACACACACCTCTTCATTTTCTATAAATAGCACATAACCCCTCTAGTTTTGATATACCTTTTTCTGGTACCAAAGTTCTGCTAAAATCCAAAACTAGTTTTCTGCATTCTTTTCAAAAATAAAATCGAGTCAAGTGTGGTTCTCGCCGGTTCGCTGCTTTCGATGGTTTCCAGGGTTTGAGGTACCGCTACGCCGGAAAAGGTCCTATATATCTTGGGAGAAATCATTCCATAACCTTGGGTACTAGAGGGGAATAAGATTCCTTAAGAAGAGACAGTGAATTCTGTTGGATAACACTCATACTTTGCATTATTTTTTGTGATCTTATCAATGTTCAAGAAGACGCTGGGCGCCACCTAGGCGAGGAGGCACCGCCCAGCGCCCAGGCCGATTAGTCGTTGCCTAGGCGAGATTAAACGTCGAAAAAAATGATAAATATGTAAGTTTAGAGTGCAAGATCAAACATAACATTCATAATCATGTCCCTGAATTAGCAATCTACTAGGTTTCACTTCCACACATT